AGAACATTTGATTTTTTTTGGACTTCTGGTCATAATTTCTCTTGTAATAAAAAACTTTTGAACAAATTATTTGCCCCTTGTTAGTCCCTGCCCCGTTCAGCTTTACTCCTTGCTTGTAAAATTAGCTTCTGAAGGAAATTTAAACTTTTCTGATTCTGGTGGACAGATTATAAAAGATGCTGATCTAGAAGAACTGAGCGAGCTAGGATCTGGTACATATGGTACTGTTTATCATGGAAAATGGCGGGGAACAGATGTTGCTATAAAGAGAATAAGAAAGAGTTGCTTTTCTGGGAGATCATCAGAGCAAGACCGACAGGTTGGGTCTCCGGAGATATTTTTCTTTCATCCCCCTTGTTTTTCTAGTTTGTGATCATAAAAATGGAAGAGCTGGTATTGATTCTCATAAGAAGCTTCATAATGGTTCAGGGTACAAAATTGAGGATATATGCCTGCATTTAACACTATATCGGTTCATATTGAAGCAATCTTGTGTTTATTGATATTCATGACGTGTGTTTCCATTTGTGCTAGTTAATATTTGGGTGTCGAAAATTCTTAAGAGGAAAAAATGGAATATAGTTTTCTGGATAGATACTTTTGGTAGTGCACTTGCGTTCTGGGTTTCAGCCAAAAAATTAAAAAAAAAGGGGCTGTATGTCATGGGAATCAAATTCATCGGGGTAACCTTGCCCGTCTTCCAGTGGTCTATTTTCTTTCAGCCTTCTTTTCTTGAATTCTGTTGAAGTGTTCTGTTCTTATTGCAATTGGAGATTCATAATCTGCTTTTGTTATTTTCATAAGCTTGTCAGTTCTCGAGTTAAAGTTGTTTTTAGCAGCTATGATATTTATTGCAGAAAGAATCGCTATAATATTTAAACTGTTCTGCTAATTGAATGTTTTTATGAAGAAAGATTAGCCCGTGTTTTTTTATTGCTTCAAATTTTAAATAGTCTTGGGAGGAAAGTAGAAGATGGTTTCTTTTCTATTCTTCAGGGTGGGATTTGGGGTTGAATGAGCAGTATTAGGATAACTGACTTAAATGTGAAAGAAACAACTGAAAATATATGGAGTGATTTGAGTCCTCTGGGCATTTTGTAGTTGTAAGATCCTTAAACCAAATTTGTAGTAATGTTCTTCATAGAAGTTTGAGTTATTGCATGCCTGAAGCTGATGAATATTTGGATGCACCAGATCCAAGACTTCTGGAGAGAAGCACAGATCCTCTCAAATCTGCATCATCCAAACGTGGTCACATTTTATGGAGTAGTACCAGATGGAAGCGGAGGAACGTTGGCAACTGTAACTGAATATATGGTAAATGGATCGCTTAGGAATGCCCTAATCAAGAAGGAAAGGTAAAATATAGGTTCAACCTCTCAATTTTATAGTACACTAATTACTAATGCACTTACTGGCTTTTTTGGAATTCTTATGCAGGTCACTTGATCTTCACAAAAGGCTCATAATTGCCTTGGGTGCAGCTTTTGGCATGGAATACTTGCATTCCAAAAACATTGTTCATTTTGATCTGAAATCTGACAATTTGCTTGTCAATCTAAGCGACCCAGAACGACCCATATGCAAGGTACACAATATGTTAAATACAAACACTGCTCTAGTGGGCATTTTGATTTCAAGGTGCCTCACGTGATATTCTAAACTATAAATGACCAGAGAAAAATTCTTAATTCTGGTTAACTCCAAAATTATTTTTGGTCCAAGATAAATACTCATCATATGTATAGAAATAGAATAACCTTAAACCTTCATGTTCTCCTCATAACTAGTCTATATGCTGTAACTTATCATGTTAGGAACTAGGAAGGCTTATGTTGCTGAAAGGTTTTCATTGGCTCTTCAATTGAAGCACAACTACCGTGTGTTGTTTCCACAGATTGGAGATTTTGGATTATCAAAAATCAAGCGGAATACTCTAATTTCTGGAGGTGTGCGAGGAACCCTCCCATGGATGGCACCAGAACTGCTAAATGGTAGCAGCACCAAGGTTTCTGAAAAGGTCAGTAAAGCCATATTCTAGTATGTCTTGCCACATTGAAGGGAAGAATAAGTACACGTGAAAGCCAAAATTTGTTATATTTAATTTGACAGGTTGATGTGTTCTCATTTGGAATTTCAATGTGGGAAATTTTGACTGGAGAGGAGCCATATGCCGATATGCATTGTGGTGCCATCATTGGTAAGATTTTGATTTACCAATATGCTAATATCCCTGATTGTGAATGGAAAATATACATTCCTGGAAAAGTGATTGAGATGTTATGACATGATTTTAGTTCCACTGTGGAGGGCATAAATTTGCTCAACTGTTGTATCAGTATTTTCTTTGAAGTATGAGGATTTGCATGTGATTTTCTCTATTCTTTTTCTATGTATGATTTTTTTCTCTTTTATTTCTGGTAAGTCAACAATTTAGGAAGTTCCAAAAACAAAGACAAAGAGGCTGGGAAAAACTCTAAGATACTTTATTTAAAAAGGCTTCTCTGGAATTTTACTCGAGTTAATAATGATGATATTGATGATCAATCAAATGTTGTTTGGTTGAAGATGAAGATCACAAAAAGTTTGAGTTGTAAGGATGTAAGACAGATTTTTCTCATTTGCTCTTGCTCTATAATAGTATAAAACAGCATCCTAAACAACTCATGTAAATAAATTGAAGCCATAGCATACACTTAACCATCTTTCATTTCCAGTTTTTCACCGTCCGTCTGAAAAGAAAACAAAAACCTTGTGCTTTTCACCAAAACCTGGCTTTCTGTTTGATTACTGAATTATGATTGCAGGAGGGATCCTGAAGAACACTCTTCGACCTCGTATTCCAGAATGTTGCCATCCTGATTGGAGGAAGCTAATGGAGCAGTGCTGGTCTCCTGATCCTGGATCGAGGCCATCATTTACCGATATAACAAACAGGCTGCGATCCATGTCTATGTCGTTTAAGCCGAAGGGAACTAATAATCAGGCAAAACAGACAGGGCCCTAAGTTAACGGTATGACTCATCATTATACGCTAGCACCTATTTTGTTATTAGGTACACCTGTAAAGTTTAATATCTCCGACAGGTCCTCTGAGAATTTGCATAAGTAGAGTTTGATCATCAATAGCAAAATTTGTTCCCACTTTTCAAATAAATGTCTTCTTTTGTTTATTCTTTTGTAAGAGAGTAAATTCGTGTCATAGTAGTAAAGCCTGAGAGAAAAGCATTTATTAATCCTTCCGACTGCTGATTTTGATGAAAATTGCGTCTGTATATGTAAAAACTTCTAGCAAATTTCATTATTAGTATGAGATTGTAATCAAAGATTAAAGAATGGGATTTGTAGATACCGAAATTCAAGGTGATAATGCAAATAATTGAGTTCTTGAGTCCGAAATTTCTTTGATCTATTTCCAGCTTTTGTCATTTCTTAGTTTTCATTCATACTTTGGGACTCTTAACTCATACCTAGCTGTATTTTTTACCGTACATCTATTCTGTGTATAGTTATTGGCTGATTCTGATAGGAGAAAAATTAGAATAAAATTAATCAGATAACATTTGTATCTGAAATATTAATTACTTATTTAGTCTATTTTTTTCACGTTTCCAATCCGCGACTTGCACAATGAAGCAGATAGTAGTGTTCATGTACACCTTTTGATTCCCCCCCCCCCTTTTAATATAAAAAGGATGCAAAATGGAATAAGGAAAAAAAATTATAGTTTGCAAATAATTGGACCGAACTTCAGTTTTTTAGACGAATCTATTGTTTGTCTGCCTATATAATGTCCAGAATTCATGGCAATGCAAATATTCTCCGACACCATGAATAAGTTAAAACAAATATCATACAAACCAGAGATGAAATTATCCCATCTTAAGAGCAGTTTGCAGAACCTACATAATTGTCATCAGATAATCTTAAATATTGTAATATCCACCCTATCCCCCGACAATAAACATATTCCCAATTTCCCATAACAATAAGAATACATACTCTTTGGCATTATCTGTAATATGCCTCAGTTTCCAAACTAATTTCATTTCTTGTTGCCATGTAATTTTAGACGATTTTTTTTTATTTATGTTCTATACAAGGAATCACCTGCTTTTTGTTATGCAAGAACATCTTTAACTGGCTATACTCACTAACATAACTGATTTCTCGACGGTGTTTCCCTGATAATACGGTTCCTCGAAAGCAGTGGTCAGATGTCGAACTCGAACGAAAGCAATCCGAAGTTAAGAGGGTAAAACGGTGCAGTCTGGACAGTAAAGCCATGGATGTTTCCTGCTGGTTACGTCAAAACGAACGTGGGCAGACATTCCACCTCAGGATCCCATGCCGGGGGGGGGGGGCACACACATTCTACATAATTCCTGTAGAACCCATCGCCACTTTTTACGCCATGAACAGCACGGCGACACGTCGAATCACCTGAGGTCCGAAGGTTCACATCAAAATTTGTGAGAAGGAAAGGTCGAGACACATGCAAAGAGTGAGCTATTGTGGCATATTCTCTTTTACTTTTTGTCGTTTGAGACAAAACCAGTCGTTGTCTTTCCCCCCATTTCCATTAACGTTCCTCATATCATTGATCCCCGCATTTAATGTCCCAAAATATCTAACACCTTATTGATACGTATAACCATCATTCATCTCAAATTCTCTTTAATTTATTTGTAAAATGACATTATTGGTGTAGGATCCAACTCAAAATCCCAAATGATCAATTTTGAGATTTCCAGCTCATCTTTCAACAATGCTACAATACAAAGCCTCAATTCACTACATGGAAAGCTCGAGTGCTTACTCTAAACCATATATGTGGCAGTGATAATCAACTTCAAAGAGTTTTGGGACCACCCAAAGATCGATTTTTAGTCGTACACGTGTCTGGAGAATACAAATGCCAACAAAGTGCAAACCTCGTTCTGGTTCTTAATTAATGGTTTTTAAAACTAAATCTCGATTTTTTTTTGCTTATATAAATAATCCCACCCATGTTACTATGAAAACTCAACCCAAGTAGCCGACACTTCCCCTCTATCTACTCGGTTGTTTCTCTCTCACCATCTTCCCTAACACCCAAAACCCTGAACTTCTTGTCTTCATCTCCACAAGTGCCTCATTTATCTTCTTTTTTTCTTATAACAAAGAATCTTTAAGAACATACAGACAGAACCAGATAGATCTCTAAAGTCCGTCTATTTTTGAACGAGATTTTGCTGTCTTTCACTCGGTTCATATACTATATAACGTCACCAGTTTTTGTCCCAAGCAAATACAAAAAATGCAGGTGAGATTTGAACTCAGAATCAGATAACATAATCGAGTTGCATTGTGTACTGATCCCTCATTGTGAATTTATACCAGATATTTCAGTGGCTCTTTAAGGGAGCTGGTGAACGTGGAGTTCAAAATACCACTGGAAAAGGTGAGCAAAACCTAAAGACGCAACATTTAGCGACGTTTTTTCTATGGAAAAACGTCACTTTATCTATTCTTATAACACATATTGTCTGGATTTTTCTTTTCAGATGAAGAAGATGAACCCAAAGATGTAGTTCCGTATAAGAATAATAATAATAGAAGATCAAAGAGGAAGAGGTTTAAGCCAGTTATATTTCTGTGCAATAAAGACATTGCAAAGGCTTGCTTTTTCAGTACTATCTATTTGAGAAAAGTCGACACCTCTCGTACGACGCATCACCACCACCACCAACAACAATCTCATTCCCAAACCATAATGAAGATGAAGAAAGGAGGATTCATCATTGCTAATCACAAATCGGATTCGAGCAAAGTGTCACCGTTAAGTGAAGCTCAAGTAGTAGTATCATCGACCAACGATCATCATCAATGTGGTAGCAGCAATGAAACGAAAGACAAAAAGCCCAAACCCATGTCCCGTATGAAGGAGTTGTTAAGATGGTCTGCTTCGTCCAAGTCCGAGAAAGTAGCAAAGTTGAGCAAGAAGGTACTGAAAAAAGAAGCCTGGATTCACTAAAACTTGTTATTTAGTAGCGGAAAAAAGTGTAATAACAAGAGCATTTTGAATTTGCTTTTTCCCAGGTTGATGGTCGACGACTTTGTATGAGTGAGTCTCCGAAGATTAGTTTGAGATGGGATGGGGACAGATGCTCCACTATTTCTTCTGTCATTTCTGGGTTTTCCATGGCCTCTTCTTCGAGAAACGATGAAGCCTCCTGCAGCGTGGTTTCGTTGAACTCCACTGTTCTACATGGCTTGGATCGTAGCTCCAGCAGGAGAGGGAATTGGATAACTACAGACTCTGAATGTAAGGCTCTACTCATACATATACATACATATAAACGTATATACAAATACATGTACATATATATAGAGAGAGGTATATTTATAATGTTTATATTGTTTTTGGCAGTTGTGGTGTTGGAGCTATGAAGGGAGAAGCTTAAATTTGCAGGTTGAATATGTGAAAGAAATGCTGCATAGCCATAGCTTTAATTTCGTTGGACAAAGATATTTCATGTATCAAATGTAAACATTAGTGTTAAGAACTTAAGGATCTGAAATGTTCAAGTGTAACACTCGGAAGCTAATGAAGATGGGTCTACATTATGACTTTTTAAAAATAGTATATATGAAAATTAAATGGTTTCTGGTGTTATTGGCCTAAGTTTCTTTAAAAACAAAAACAAAGAATTTATGCTTGTATGTAAATAACTATCAATATCTATTATTTAAGGGATTTATCAAAAATTTTATTTTAGTTTTGGAAATTTAAAAATACTTAAATTCACATTTTCATATACCTTAACAGTGACAATACTAATATATAAATCTAAATAAAGGTAGAGTCCGTTCAAACTGTATCTTCTATTTTTTACTTATCCAACAATTCTAACGAGCGTAAAACTAAATTTTTATCCTAATCCACCTAAATATATCTCTAAATATATTTTTAAAAGTCTAAACTATGTAATTATTGAAAATTGAAAAGGAATGAGTAGAATTGATACAGGATGAGATTGTGCAATTGAAAGTGGTAGAAAAGAATTTAGACATTTGAAAGTGGTTCTCATCCAAAATCATTTATTACCAAACCCAATTCATTTTGGGCCGCTTGCCCAACAGCTTCCACACATACAAAGTTAAAAAAAAAATGGGGCGAGAGAGGCTCGACCTCAGGATTACTCTTAAGCAATGAGACCTACGCGCTAGCCGACTGCGCCACCGCCCCATTAATCACACTATCACCATTTCGTTTATTAGTTTTTGTAAGTAAATGAGTCCAACCCCAACAACTTGGCTCGTATTCTCTGAGTGACTATAGATTGATTCATTTTTTTAAGGATCAAATGGTGGAATATGCATCTTCATCGTAATGTGATCAGCCTACATTCGCACCCAAGTTGTCTTAAACATGGAGGATTTGAGCATCCGAGAATAGTTTGGCTTTTAGCCTGTACTGCAGTGAGCTTTTATCATCTTTGATTTTGTGATTAGTTGTTAGCCTTGTCAAGATTTATCCATAAATCTTTTGAGTATGTATGGTTTGTTTCGGTCCGAGTACCTCTTCATCCGCTACGTATCCCAAATTTATACTCATAACGATTAAAGGAAAACCACTTGGCAATTGATTGTATTAAAGAGAATATTTATTATCATATTGTTGTTCATTGATTGGTTACCGCTGATTTTGCTCGTCTGTTGAATTTCTTCACGTTGATGAAAGAAGTGGCGGGAACATGGGCATTGGAAAATGACAGGCACAGTATAGTACTTTTGAAAAAGATCATTGCAAAAGGATTAGTATCAGGGATTCGAATAACGGACCGAAAAATATTATTGCTGACGCTATTTAAAGGTAGCGCCATCATTCGAAATTGAGATTAATGAAATTAACGGTAGGTAGCGGATTCACGCCAATAACAATCTGTTACTCCCGTAATTTAACGGGTAACAGTGAATAACGCCGATAACAAGACGCTATTACTGTTACATATCGTTACAGTGAAAAAATCTTGTCATGCGTCCGTCATGCGTCCGTCAAGCTTCGCCTCATGTGAAGAAGGTAAAAAATAAAACAAAAAAAAGTAAAAAATCTAAGTTAAATATAATTTTGTAGAAGATGAACTTGAAATGTTGATTTTTTTATTTTTTTTTGGTTTAGAAAGATAGGTCGGGGAGCTGAGTGAGGAGAAAATAAAAGCTTCCGGAGATTTCTTATCACTTAAAAGTTTAAGAGTTTTGTGGGTGACCCGTGTCCCACTCTAATTTTTTTTTATTTCTTTATATAATTTTTAAAATATAATTTTAAAGAAGATATTACATTGACATCCTCTCGTCTTTTAGAATTTTTAATTTAATCTTTAATTTAAAATATAAATTTTATTTTTTATTTAATTTAGTCCTAATTTTAATAACCTAAAATTCTGCAATTTAAATTTTACAATTTTATTTTAATTTAGTCATTTTGTGTTCTTTAAATTTATTTAAATTTTACTATTTTATTTTAATTATGTTTAAATGTGGCTTAAAGAAAGTTGTGTAAAACTTAAAAAAATTCACGATCGCGACACCCACAGTGATCCCGGTGATATTCATTATGTCCGTAACCACGATAAACGTGATACAACCGAAAACGCGACTGCAAACGCTATTTAAATCTGTGATTAGTATTTTTCAGAAGAACATCCCTGTGCCCTACAATCTTTACATGATAATCTCTTTCAGTGAGAAAGTCGTTATCATACGTTAAACAAATGCAAAGCTTTCCCACTCTGAAACCGTGGGTTAAGCTAACTTAAGAGATATGTCTCTAGGTTTTTCATGAAGGAAAAAAGAAGAAGAAGAAGAAGATGCCGTTAAACAAATACTGGTGAAAGCTTTTTATGTGCTATCATTGTTGCAGAATCATCAAATATGTTAGCTATTATTGTGTGTGTATTCTCGTTTTTTCTTTAGCTATTATTGTGTGTATTCTGGTTTTTTCTTTGGACCACACTGCTCTTGGCCGCTCTTTCATGTCTTTTTTTTAGCTTTGGCTTGTTGAAAGGAACTTTTCATGTATTTTAGTTAGGCAGCTGCAACTTTCCTGGTTTGATATTGATTATTCAAGTGCTTTGCTGAAGAAAAGAAAGGACAACACTGCCTTCATCTTTCAATTCTGGTCATAATGGTTAAGTGTTATGTTAATTAAAATCCGTAATTGTAGATACGTTTGTATTCTGTAGGAGGCTATAATAAAGTATGATACAAAATTAAGTAACTAGTTATGTTAAAAAATTTAATGATTTCAACCTATCAATTAATTCAGATATATCTCTATTTATTTTGATATTCGTATAAGATTCATTTTGATTCTATCATTTTATTCTCGTATCGATGTTATCATAAACACCAATTATAAGTGATTGCATGAGATTACTTAGTCTGATTTCATGTTTAAAAAGTTGTTTGATCTAAAACGAGTCGGTTGATTTTATTTTTACCAGTGAAGTCAAAATAAGTTTCTGCAATACTAAACCAGAAGTTTTTAGTATTTGAAGAAGGGAAAAAGGATAAAAAGCTTTTCTAAAGATAATAATATACAAGTCAATGGCACCTGATTCTCTTAAAAGATTTCATCATTTTGATTGTGAAGGATCAAATAATTTGCATTATTGTGAATGATCGAACTTAACATACATGCATTGGCCTGGCCTTTTCTCTTTAATTCACTTTCCATAAAGTGCATGATAGGCAATTTTCAAATTGAATTCATTGTGCAGAAAGCTGCAATTATATGTATACACTTTAGAAGAAAAGGCTGCAAAAGATAGGGTCAATTCAAAGTTAGGGTTTTGGCCTTCTACTCAATTATGGTTTCAACCAACCCTAAAGGATACAAATACCGCTAATATATCCTTTAACCTACATACTTGGCCATTTCTGCATAATGCATGGGATTCTCACCCATTTTTTTTCCACGTCGAGTTTACTCGTTACATTTGATCTTTATATTGAATTTGTATGAGAAACCAATCAATGGAAAGAACACTCCTTCAAAGTTAAAGTCGCCACGCCATGCATATTGCTTTAACTTTGTGTATGAGAAAAGCAAAGGAACGAACAAACTGCACCTTTGTAGGTTAGAAAAAAAAAGTAAATGACTTTTTCTATTGCTTTGTCCAAATGAAATGCAAACGATCGTTGAATCAACTTTTTTGTTGTGTTCCACCGCCGGTTCAAGCTTTGCTATAAATGTTGTGTGTGTTGTTGTTGTTTTATTTTTTATTTTTTTGGGGGGGAGCAAAAGCATCGCACCTGAAAAAGGGACGATACAATAGACTTAAAACGATGAGTGGCATAGAGAAAGTAATTTCAGCAACTTAAATTGTTGATTCGTCAGGTGTCAGTACGGGCGAATTCTGTAATCTTTTTTTAGTTTGTGATAAAAATATAAAGGGTTAACCACACGAAAGATTAATTATATTTATATTTTGTTTACTTTTAATCATCGATTTAAAAAAAATGAGATATAATAATTTTCGTTTATATTTAATTAAGACGTGATCACCTCGAGTTAACTATCGTTAACATTAGTTAAAATTTTGATATAATTACACATTTGATATGTGTTATTTACCTATTCTCTCAATTTAGTCATATTTTTAATAAATTAAAATAAAATAAAACCTCCAATTGAATGATGTCACATGTCATGACACGAGTCACCGTTTGGTTGGAGGACTAACTTTATTTTAATTTAATATATTTATTTCCACCAATCAATGATTGATATGTGTCACCCTTTGGTTGGGGAAAAAACAAAGGAGAGCAAATTAGGGTTAAAAAATTCAAACCTTGGTCACTTACAAAACTAAACATGTATCTAACCATTAAGTCAAGACTATTGTTTGGTCTAAAGTAGACAACATGATGTACTTATTGTGTATCTTAGTGTATAAATACTTAAATTCATAATATTTTATATATATTAACTTAAAAATATTTTTATATTAACTTATTAAATATATTTTATTATTAACTTAATTTAAAAATGTTTTATTTTCATTTTCATTTAAAAATATATATTTGATGTTAAAATTTATTTAAAAGTATGACTAAATTGGTAGAATATGTAAGTAACAGATACCAAATGTGTGATTATACCAACTATCATGTCACGTATTTTGTTAATTGTTAACAACAATTAACCCATGATGACCACAGCTTAATTAAATAAAAACGAAAGTGATCATATCTTAGTCAAATAAAAACGAAAGTGATAATATCTTATGCTTTTTGAAATCATTGACCAAAATAGACAAAATACAAACATAAGTGATCACCCATGTAGTTAACCCAAATATAAATTATTAAAAGGTTAAAATAAAAAAAATAACATAAAAAACTAAATTAAATTAATAAATTTAAGAGAGACTTAAAAATAATTTTATCACTTATCCAAGCCCAAGTCAATGAATGATGAGAATGATTGTGTTTTCTATAATTTATAGCATACAATAATTTTTATTTTTTAATATAATTAACTATTAGTATTTCAATTATTAGTTAATTAATTCGAATAAAATATTATT